TTCCAATAACTTTTAAGTATTTGAAACATTTTAATTTCAGGAGAGTTACAACCTCACAATGGAGTTTTTCACTCAACCTGAGCGCTGAATTTAGTTACAACAAAGTTCTTGACTGTGTTTAAAACGGAGGAGTTGGAGCAGCAGGGGGACTGGAAGCAGGAAAAGCTTTGTTCGCACACAAACAGAATATAGATGCTAAGAGTTGGTGAGCCGTTTGCTACCTCTGCAGACTGCAAGCCACAGATGCAGGAGGGATTCCTGTGCAGTGCTGTCAGGTTTATCTCACAGGAGAGCGAACTACAAATGGACTTACAGACAAGCGGAGAACAGGGATGTTTCATTTCTTCACTTCAACACGAGTATTATGTTGGTCTTCTGCTTAATATTCATCATTGTAAAGATTGAAGTGGGTGATTCCCCAGTAATGCAGGGATTAACAGAGGATCAACAAAGTTAGTATTTGACTTTCAGCATGGTTCTTACTGGGAATTAGACATTTTCAGGGAACCATGATTCGACTCCTAAGTCTGACTTTAAGCTCTTAGATGTCTTGTTGAAACAGCTGGAGATGCTTTTACTATACAACTATCTAAATAGGGAGCGTACGGTGCCCCTTAGAGGAATGGGGGATTTTTTTTCTTTTGCGTTCCCTCACAATAATGTACTGGTCAGTTTTTTCTGTTATAGAGGGACCATCAGAAAACGTCCCGTTGCGTCAGCAGCTTCTCTAATGAGGATGTTGCCTTCAAAGCGCAACTAAACATACATTATTCTAACAATTAAAACTATTTACAGTTAGACTATTAAAATCATTTACAACTCACAGCCCCTCTAATTGTGAGCAAACTAAGAAATAATTTTATTTGTTCTTTGCATGTTAAATATGAATTCAGCTTTTCACCAGGAACAAAATTGCGAGCGAGTTAATATCTGACGTTTGGGGCCATTTTCTCTCATCATTTATTGATTCTCGCATCTCATTGATTCACTAATGTTTGGTTTATCATGATGTGATAAACAGTCGTAGTCCACTGTTTATCTAACTAATGTTAAAACAGTGAGATTATTAGATTAAACCAGCAGGTCTCTGTGTAGTCACGTTAAATATAAGGGTTTGTAAGGTTCATCCATCTATGTTAGTGTCTCATTTGTGAGATATTTCAAGTTTTATTTCTGTTTCTGAAGAATAAAAATGCACCACAGACATATGTGCAAAATGCAAAAGCAAAACATGGGCTTTACAAAAACCAGATAAAAAATACATCCAGACTACTTGCACTATTTTTGACTGATATTCACAGGGTAATAATAATAATAAGGCCGTCTGACAGTTTTGATTGGGTCTTTTTACTGTTGGTAATCTGAATAATAGTTTCACAAACAAACATGAACATGCAGTAATAGATTGACTCTCAATTGGGTTTTAGCACCAAAGAGTTAAGAATGTAGAAACTTGCCTCTTTAAAGGTATTTGCCATTTTAAATTGGTATTTGTGATGATATACAAAATAAACAGGGTGTGTTTGCTTATTTATTGCAAGGGAAGGCAAAAGAAAAGTTTCCCCCATGTCTCCAAGGGGCTCCATAAATAAAGATATTTAAACCTTTTTTTTGCACATTCATGCAGCGTCTGACGCCTTTAGACATGGGATTTAATGTGAGTTGGATTCCCTTTTAATGTTCTAGTTTACAGAACAGATGGTGTCAATTCAGGCTGTTTTGTTTTCCTCTGAGGTTTGTAATTAAAATAAAACACGTGTTTTCACAGTAGCAGGTGCTGATGAGGACCTGAGATGTCACGACTTGATTACAGGCACTTATTTCAAAGCTGCTGTGATTATTTCACAGAAAATGACAGGATGTTTATTAAAGTGTCTTATAAAATAATTTGGACAGCTTAGTCATTTTCTGATTTAACAAACAGCAGAAGCTCCTGTATTTTAGAAAAGTGCGGCAGGAGCGGGGCATTATTTCCGCAGACTGTCGACCCTTTGCCCAGAAAACCACAAAACCTCACCAAGTGTTTTTGGTCCAGTTCGTCTTGCATTTAAACATGAAATAAAAGAAAATTTCTCAGAAAAATATTGGAGCGTGTTTTAAGCAAATGATTCCAAAAAAATACTGGTTCCACTGGCAGATTATTTCCTATGTCAACAGTGAAATAATCTGTCATCAATATTAAGGTCTTGTTGACTTAAAACAAGCTCCAATATCTTTCTGAAAAGTTATTTGTAAATTACTTTTGTCTTATTTCCAGTGTTCTGCGATCTGAAGATAAAAATACGTTTAACTTTTTATGTTTGTGTAATCTGGCAAATGTCACACTTCAGCGTAATCTATTCTAATCTATATTATTCCATATTTGTGGTGTGCTTGTTTGACCAGTGGAAATCTTCTAAAAGTATTAAATGTTTTTTTTTATTTTTCTAAAATCACAATGTTTTGTTTCCAGGCAACATGAGGCCAAGTTCTGCTTCTGCAGCATCAGATAAACTTGTGGGTTTTAAGATGGAGGTTATCTGATAAAAAAAACATCGTTAAAGAGCCTTTAATCCCATCTCCCTCAAATCGCTGCTTAAATGTCAGGTTTGCTTGACACTCCTGCACCAAACAACCTCATATTTTCTTTCTTAACGGGAGATCAAAGATCGTGTTTGTGGGATTCGGCATCAGGACATTTTGCTATAGATATAATTTTGTAAACTCCTCCTTCTGAAGCCTTGGGATTAAAAGTATTTTGAGAAAACTAGCGGGCTGGAAAAGAACATAATTTGAGGTAAAGCAGAGGAAAATATGGAAGAAACTCATCAACTGTTCAGATAAGGAATGATTGGTTGAGAAAACCAATTATTATTTATACAACCACAAAGATACTGTTTACTTTTAAAGTTTAAAACAGATGGATGAATCTGATTATACTTCCAATCTGCTTTTACGTTTGAAATTTGGCCCTTTGATGTTTCAGAGTGACGTTTATAATTTTATATTAAAAAATTAAAGTTCAGGGTTGTTTTATTTTTGTAAAATAGTTTTTAGACGTTTTATTTAAGGATGCAGATCGTCCAGGTGGGTCTTCAGACTGAACTGGACAGGAACAAAAATCACCTGGATTTGCACCTAAAATGATCTTTAAGTTATTAAATAAGATTTTATTTGATAACTTTAAAAAATATGACAAATGACCTCAATTCCTTATGTGTGCATTCCTAATAATGTTTCTAAATTGATAATTTTCTCTTGTTTATAGAGTAATTAGAACATTTAGTGTTGAAAATGAAAAAAAATATATATACATTTAGATGTGGAAAAATGGTACCATTTGTATAAAACAGCTGTTTTTGCACTATATGTGTTTACAGTTGAGCTCAAAATGATTCTCAACTCAAAACAGAATTAGATTTAAATCTGGTAATAAATTAGGATGACGGCAAACAGGCCTTCTCATAATAATGTGAAAAAAAGCAAAAATATGTTTATTTGGTTTCATACTAATAGAGAATTTTCTTCTATTTTATCTATTGACATGCTGATTTTTTAAAATTGAAATAAATTTGAAAAAAATGTATAAATTGTTTAATTGATACCCTTTTTGTTTCATTTATCTCTTGAAAAGTGTTCATTTCATTTGATACCAGACTTTATTGAGATCGGGGCTTTACTGCCCCGATCTCATTGTTCTGCTTGTCCCAATTGTTTTATTAGATTAGTAACATGAGCGTTTAGAGTTTCTTTCAGCTTAATTACATTTGCAAAATGTGAAAACCTCTTAGAGAAAACTGATATTCTCTAGAACTGAACTATGTGTGCTAGCTATGCAAATTAGCTGCACAGCTAAGAGATTAGCAAGCTGGTATTAAACCACAGACTGACAGGAAACATGTCATCCCTTTAATCCTAAACAAAGACACCAACAATATGAGGTTGAAATTAAGATAAGACATGAAGAACTGTGTTGGGTTCTCCATAATTTAAGTCACACTGCAAAAACACAAAACCTTTTCAAGCTGAAATGAGACACAACTAACTTCGTTCTCAGCAAGACAACAGGAGCTTGTTGCAGGTAAATAATTCCTTTAAGATTAATTTTAAAATAGTAGTTCCACTGGCAGATTATTTCTCTTATAGCAAAACATAAAACAGTAAGAAGATGGATTATTTACCTATAGAAGCTCCAACATCTTTCTGAAAAGTAACTTATAAGAGTCCTAAGATATTTGCACCACAAACCAGATTAAAAATACTTGGTTAGACTTTGTGCTTTTTGCAGTGTCGGCGTAATTAAAATTGCACAGACAAGCTCTTTGTGACAAAAGTGAACAAATTTAAACTGCAGCTTTGGTTTGGATGAGTTTCTAAATAAAACCTCAAACGGTGACCAGAAGCTTCAATGTTGAATATTTGGAGGAATTCTTTGAAAAAACTGGTAAAATATGCAAACATAAGTGTCTTTTACGAACACATCATTTGTTGTGTCTCTGTTTGATGCTGCACATGCAGGTAGCATCTGCTTTCATAGGAACGTGGCGGTGATATTTCAAAGCGCCATCCATTTGCCAGATGCATCAAGTGAAGGAGTTTCTAAATTCAACATGGCACCATGAGGGAAAAAGAAGCCAAATTACACCTAATAGAATAAACATGAGCCAAGACAGCGTCTGTGTTCTGCTGCACCTTAGCTTTGCACTATATCCTCTCTGCATCTCCACTGAGAGTCTGAAAGCAGCGCTCCACCATGTTTCTAGTTGCTATCGCGTTGCTGCAAAAGATAATCATTGCTAATTTATCATTCTGACATGCTAACAGGGAGGGGAGAAACCAAACAGAGAGATAATAGTATCTACCTCGCAGGCATGTTTTTTCCCTTCTGATGCAGTTTTCAGCTTCTCCCTGTGGGATTTTTTTTATGCCAATAATGAGGAAATAATTATTGTTGCAACCTTGTTTCCTGATCCAATCAGGTTTGTTTGTTTTTCATGCTTTCTTTTTGCTGACCTGCACAGCCTCCCGCCCGGTGGAGAACCAGCTGTGCACGGGTCCGATCCCAAACAGATCCCAGCTCTGCCAGATCCCCTGCCCCATCGACTGCGAGGTGTCGCCGTGGGGGGCCTGGGGCCCCTGCGTCTTTGAGAACTGCAACGATCAGACCGGAAAGAAAGGTAAAAAGAGCAACTTTAAAGGGTCAGCGTCGCGCACAGTGGACTTTTTCATTAGTTTTATATTGTGTTATTATGTTTTTCCCTCATCAAACTTAGCTGGAGTGTTGCTTTCATTCTTTTATGCATGTTTGAAAAAAATACTTTAATCTCCATGGCAACCATTCAGCTGCACAAAACAGCTGGATTTCATATTTTAAGATGATGTCATCAAACAGACAAAACATTGTGCAAATTCTGGCATTTTAAAAACTGAACTAAAGAAAATAACCACAAATAAGCACAAAGCAGCACATTCAGACACAACAAACACTTTATTTCTATATTAAAATGAGATTTATTTACATATCTTATAGATTTGATCACTTATGGTTATATTTGCATTATTAATCTTTACCACCTAGAATTGAGTAGCTTGTCAAATAATAAGCATTTCTCCCTTGGTAGACCGTGTTCAAACCAATGGAAGGATGTATTTTGACGTCTTCTTCACCCGCAGGCTTCAAACTGAGGAAACGACAGATCACCAACGAACCAACCGGGGGCCCAGGAAGCTGCCCTCACCTGGTGGAGGCCATGCCATGCGATGACCCCAGCTGCTACAAGTGGCAGCTGGTCAGCCTGGACAGGTGTGTTCCTGATGACGGGAAGCAGTGCGGCCCCGGATCTCAGCTGCCTCAAGTTCAATGCATCAACAGCAACGGTGAGCGGAGGCAATTTGATCTCATTGTCCGATCGGACGATGGGATTTTCGCAGAGTGATGAGATGCTGCGCAGATGGCGATGATGCTTTATTATGCTGTGTGTTTTCGAAACTGTGAGTCATTTTTTCAAATTAAGCACATCCGTCCTCGGAGACGGCATTTCATGATTGACATCATCAAGCAAACAAGCTCTAATTTGCTCATCCCTGCACTGCGGAGATTTTTTTTTTTTTTTTTTATCCATCTCCATTTGTCAAATTAGAAAAAATGACACACAGGCCAGGCTTTGCAAGAAAAACACCATATTTCTCAAGGTCACCTATCTGCTGACCCTCTGGCTTTTGGTGGACATTGACGTACGCGAGGAGATTTCCATCACGCGACTCCTCATCCTTCCTCCGTCTGCCTTCTTTTTAAACCTCTCCTGCTTTAACGCTTGCTTGATTCAGCCTTGCCACCCGTCTCCCTGCTGTCTGTCTCATTACAGTTTCCTCTCTGCACGCACAATTAAACCTCCCTCTCAGAATATCAGATTAGTGCTCAGAAACTCTGGGACTTGGAGTAACTTCCACTCTTTGCTGCTTTATGTTATTACAGCTTTTCTTTATTACACCTGATATTTAATGGTAATGTAATTCGCTGAGCCATAGCATAAGCTGCATTTCCGTCATAAATATGCGCAAAATGTTGAAATTTTGCTCATGTAAAAACAAAAAAATAAAACAGTTTAACAGTTGCAGTGTTTCCATTAAATAGGAAACACATGAATAAGTTTAAATCATTAAACATGCAGCGCCATCATCCTCCATCTACTTCCTGTTGTCTTCTTTGGCGTTTGCGCCAGTGGCAATACCTGGTTGTTGATCATGTGACTCTTATGATGCGAAAAAGAAGTGTTTCCATTTCACTGATTTTGATACAACCAAAAAATAAAAACATTTTTTATTGAAAAATTAAATTTTTTTTTTTTCCAAAATTGGCGTTATTTTCAAAACGCCTCTGAATATGTTGTGCTTTCAGCAAATTACATGCTTTTGAGTCTGTATACTCTAATTAACAATTAATCAATTACTGAATTAGTTGACGATTATTTAAATAATCGATTAATCACAATTAATCAGATAAATCCAATTAATCGTTTCCTGACTTGTGCATTGGAAAATATGAACGAATTGTGCAACAACCGTTGAATATTAAATAATCAAATGAACTATTGCACTTTCTTGGAAGTTCCAGACAGGTCACACAGTTCACCCAGCATTCAGAAGGTTGTGTTTTAATGAGCGGTTTCATTAGTTTTAATGTGTTATTTGGAGGTCAGAGTGATGAACGTTTGCTTCAGGCTCTTAGCTTGATGGTTATGTTTCAGTTCACCTGCCGTATCGATGCTGATGAGAAACTAGACGCATTTTCAGCAGCTCACGGCGTAAAGCATCAAATATGTTTTGGCTGCTGTGAGTTTAACTCTTGTGTGAGATTGAAGGGGCTGCAGGGATACATGGAAAACAAATAACAGAAGCACAAGAAAGTATGCTCATTTTCCTGCCTCTATTTGAGAAAATTGTGCAACAAATTAACTCAAACGCACAAAGTTTGATCTTCAATAGGATTTTTGTGTCATTTTATGTATAAAATGTTGGTTTTCTGTAAGTTTTTACCTGTCGAAACTTGTTTTTTTTTCTTCTCTCTCTGTGACTTCTGCTGATTGATCTTCACATCTGATGGGAATTGATTTGTCCTCTTCGGATTTTCGATCTGCTTTTTGCCTCAGCGATTTTTCACTGCGACGTTGCGGCTGCATGTTGTGTTTTTGTTGTTGTTTTTTGTTTTTCCCCTGAGTGTGTACCAGTCATAAACCCCCCCAGAAAAGGCCACCCAGCCAGGCCCCAGACAGCAGGCGAAGGTCGATACAAATGTTATTGAAACTGGCTATTGATATTCCCAAAGCTGACTGCTTGGCCACTTAGTCGGGGAGCATTTTCTTCTCTGCATGCAGAGCATTGAGGTTTCTCCCCTCATTGTGGGAGGTTCTGTTCATTCATGCGTCTTTGTCGGAGCCTGAGAAATACGCAGGTCCCTTGTCGTTTCTTATTTTCATGCTTTTCCGTTTCAGTCATGATGGGTTCACTGCGTCTCAGTCAAACTGACATCTCAATGTAAAGTCAGCTGCAGTGAGGCTTTTGGTTTAGAAGCTCAATTCAGTCATGGAAAGCTTTGTATGTTTTTTTTTAAGGGTATACATTTCGTTTAACCACTTGATTTATGGCAGAGCATCAAGCAACTCACTCAGATATGTGGGTTAATATAATCCACTTACAGTGGTTACTAGGAGCTCATCAATAAAACATGAACAATAGCAATGAAACACGAGAATCCTATGTGAATTTGCGCCTTTCATGTGAAGTGCCCCCATTTTCATGGAGATTTCTTGGAGCTAAAGGTCCACCACAATTAATATTCTATTGAGAGTTCATAATGAAATACTGTATGTACGCTAAAGAGAGACAAAAATCCTTTATAAGTGGATGAAAGTAGAAACAGCTTCAGCCAGCCTAGAAATATCCATCATGTTTCTGCAAAAACAGAAAATCTTACCAAGTAATTTCAGCCTCATTTCTATTAAATATCTTAATGCACTTGAAATAAAACAAAACTAACTGACAAGTAATTAATGCCTTAATACTGATTAAAACATATTGGTTCCACTGTCGGATCATTTCACTAAAAGACTTTTTTTCATTTTGTCAGTGAAAATTCAGCTTGATTGAAAGCAGATTCATAATAAATGTACTGAAGGAGGATCTGTCACAGGAATCAGGTGAAATATGTTACACCATTTAATTTGATAAGAAAATAAATATCCAACCACTCAAAATTAAATTTTTAGCAACAATGATTAATTTTTAAAAAATCACAAAACAAAGAAATAATAATAGTTATTCTGACAAACAGATCAGTAACCAAAAATCCCTCAAAAATAATTATAGGTTAGATTTAAATCACTCAGTTTATGTCAGCAAAAAAAAACCTAAATAATTAAATGTCCAAAAAGAGAATAATGTCTGCAAAGGAGTTTTGTTGTTTTGTTTTGTTTCCTCAAATAAACAAAAAAAAGTCCTGGAAGTATTTCTCCGTTTTAATCCAAAATCCCAAACCAAAATGAAAAAATTCAAAATCCCCCAAAAGAAAAATAAAGTCCTGATCTCAGCGGGAGCGTTTTCTTTCCCCTCTTGCAGCGGGCGGCGTTTCTGGGTGCAAGCGCCACTCCAGTTCGTAAAACGCACGATCTGCGGCGCTGGGATGAACTCTGATCGCCCTCTTATGTCTTTTCTCTAATTTTTACTTGTTTTAAACATTTAATCAAGTCAAGTGTCCCGCTGCACAGATCTGAATTCAAAATAATTTTAACAATGAAATAACAGCAGCTGTCCTACAAAACAGTTTGATGCGTTTACACTTTATTGCATTTAAACTTAGTGGTTATGTCGCAATTTGCCAAAGTACTTTTTCATCAGTAGCTCCAATAACCTGCTGAAAAGTTGCATGTAAGCCAATGTTGTCTCATTTCAGGAGTACAGGGTTTAACTTTAGTAAAGTTATAAACGTGAAGTTTGTCAACATGCATTTGTCCTTTGAATTTATTTTGTTTAGTCTAAAAGTCGCTTTCTCCCTGACATTTATTGTTCCTATGTAAGATCTGCTGCTAGACTTGATTTAACCTTTTGTTAGAATAAATACAGTGAACCTGAATGTGTCTGTCATGAATCAACCTACTAAACTTGAGACAAACATAAAAGTTCAGACATAAAGATATTTAGAAACTGCATCAAAAATACTTTGCAGTGTGTTGAGTCTGCTTTTCCAGACATTAAATTATATTCTCAAATCTTTCATTAAACATTATTTCCATGAATTATCCAGTAATATTTTCTGTTTTTAATATCCTCACCTGAAACACTCAAACTCTCAGAATAAGAAAACTTAGCAGTCAAATAAAAACAGCAAACAATGACCAAATCTATGGCCTATAAACTTTATTTTCAAAAGTACCAATAATACAACGAGAAAAACAGAGTTATGTAAGATTTTTCATTATTTTAACTCTGATCCACTCAATAACTGTATTTCAATACATCTCTGTAATCTCATAGATTATCCTCCTCTTTACAAATCCGCTCTTATGTATTTCTTTCTTTTTTTTCTCTGATTCATACAGAAAAGAATCAGATTAACCCAAATCCTGCATATCAGATGCAACCGTATACATTCAAGAGATTAAATTTATTGTAGATTCTGCAGGAAATGTTTGGTAAATAATATATTGTAAGTCTTCTTAACATCTGTTTAATGATTATCTATCTCAAATAGTCAAATTGGAGATTTCTGAACTGCTGAGTAGTTGTGCATTGTATTCATATGTTCACTGTAAATTGAAATAAATGAGAAAAATGTCGGATCAAAGCGAAAACGGGAGTATCTGCATTCTCAGCCTGCTACCTTGGTGTCTGTGTAAATTGATTTGATATTTCAGTTTCTCTCTCAACCCAACCAAACGTCTGTATATTTTCAAAGGGCAGAGGTCATCCGACCCAAAGCTCACATTTACAAAATAAATTTTGCTATTTTTCTGCAGCAAAGTGTTTGTTTGGATAACGTGGTTGGCTAAAGGACCAACTGTTACACTTTCATTAGTGTCTTCTAAGCAAAAGCAGCAAAAACACATATATTTGCTGCTGTTTGAAACCGATTTTGTTAGATTTAGCAACATCAGAGAGCAAGTTGTGGACTAATTTTCCTCAGTTTTATAGACATAGTTTGCTGAAAAGTGACCCAAACTGCTGTTTGACACTAATTCTCTTATTTTTTTTATTACTTTGCTGTAAAACTCAAATGGCGACTCCTCGCTTTCAAGAGAAATTGGGGTTTTAATTACTCTTTACACTCCACATCATTAATGCAGAGAAATTAAGGAGCCAAATTGTCATAATTACCAAGCATTTACACAGATTTAGGGTAATGCTGCGACAATTAATTTGCGTTCCCTTATCTCCTGAATGTAGCCGTTGATATTTCTTACCTGAAAAGCCAGATGGCAGCTTGTAAGTTGTAGAGTCTATTGAGAAATAAATCGCCCACAACAGGAAATTAAAAGGTAAACCACCTGTTTTTAATTCAAGCTCAAATTAGTTTTTCATCCATTTCTTTCATGTTAGGTAAACTCAAATGGTTCTATGGTCGGACTCACAGATGGGAGCTGATTTCAGTGGAAGCACTTTGCATTTTAATTCCATGTTTTTACTCCAAATAACTTCATATGTTGACAATAAATGGTGTTCTCCGGTTTCTGTTTTACAGGTGTATTCCCAAATAACCCCAAAAACAAACATCCTCTATAAGCATTTAGTTTTCAGCACAGAAAAATGGGAAAACAACCAAAATACAGTTGACAGGTAACAGAGTTAATATCCTTATTTCCAGAACAAGAGTCCCTGAACTCGGGGGGAGATATTTGCTGAACGGTTCAAAAAGATTTCTTTTCTTCTTCTCAAATATTGTGCAAAATTCACGTTTTGCGCATTTTCATTTCCATTTTCATTTCCACTGCTGATAAAAACAGCCCTAAAAAAACTCACTCAACTGTTTTTTGTTAGTTGGTTAAAATTAGCCGTTTTAAAAAGCTCCAGATTAAGTCACCTTCTGCAGACGCTGCCCCGTTACCAAGCAACACCGGCCGAGCCCGGCCCGTTACCTAGCAGCCCAAACGGAGCTCCAGCATGGTTGGTCAGCTGATTTTGTATCCGCTGTACAACGGCTGCTGGAAAAGACGACGGCTTTGTTCAGAAACCAATTGCTGGTTTATGTTGCAAGTGTAAACATGGAGGTTCATCAGAAGCTTATTTGGATTTAAAGTGACAGGAAGCCCTTAAACAGCTCATTCTCAGACTAAAATTTAATAATCTAAGAATGATCCTGTGCAAAAAGTGTAACATTTAACGTGTTTAATGTGGCACATAAACCTGTCCTAGCCTGGTCCTAGGAAACGAGTTAATAAGCCAACGCCGCTCTCAAGAGAAAGCAGAGTTTATGTAAACCTAAAATTTTGTTGTAAGTTGTGATTACGGTTGTAAAATGATTGATTCTGACCCGTTCTGGTGTCTGGTTTTGTCCAGGGGAGCTCGTGGACAGAAGCCTGTGCTCCTCCTCGGCCGTTTTGGAGCCTGTTTCCTGTGAGGTGCCCTGCGCCAGAGACTGCGTGCTCAGCGACTGGACGCCGTGGTCCACCTGCTCCCAGACGTGCTCCAGCAAAACCGTGGAGGGCAAGCAAATGAGGACCCGCTCCATTCTGGCGTACAACGCCGGGGAAGGTGAGTCCGCTGTGAGAGTTGGAAGAAAACATCCAGACGTCGCCTTTTCAAGTCGTCCTCTGCTGTCAGCCGCAGAGCGTCTGATTTCACACTTGTCTGCTTGTGCGTTTGTCTTTATCTCACAGTCTGCTTATCTGTCCTGATGATTATTCCTGTTGGTCTGTCTCCTCGCCTGACGCTCACTTTTATCTCGCCGTCGGATCTTTTCTCGTGCTTTGGAGTTTGAACCTGTGTGTGTTCTCCTTTTTGTTTTCTCTCGTTCTGCGTTCTGCTCAGTCACTGCGATGGTTGTGGCGTGGATCACAGTGATGGAGGGTAACGGTTCTAATTAAAGATCCCTGGTAGCTATTTTAAACCTCTAGCTATGTGTTTGCATAAAATAGTTGGCTTGTTTGGAGCTCAGAAGACATGTTGTCCTTTTAGGCCCCTCTAGGGGGAACTTATAATTGATTTTGAATTAATTCAGCTTGTTGCTGCCTAATTCAGTCAGGCCTTGTTGGTCTTGTGTGAAATAGCCTGACTGTTGTTCTGCTGCTGTAGTATTAGTTTATTCGGTTCCAACCTACCATAATAACATTTAAAATCTGTTTTTTATCAAGGTCTGTCACAGGTGCCCCAGTTCCCAGAACTTTACGGTAATATTTGACTCTTATTATTAGACTAGATGTAGCTTTTAGAGGGACGATGACTTCATTAAATAACTGTCTCTAGTCTGTGCAAATACACATACTTAAGGACAATAACTGAAAGAGTCCTTTTCTATCTGCATAGTAGATTATCTGATTAGATTTCGAGATCCCTGGCTGATTTTGCAGCTTGTCTGTTGCATATTAATAAAGGAGAAACTTGTTGGAACTGCAGGAACCACTCAAAGCATAAGACGCAGGGATCATATTAATATGCAGCCACCCATGTTTGCACGGGACTCTGTGTTAATTAGTGCATTAATAAGCAAATTAATGACCTAATTAGCATAACTGCCATTCTGTGGTGATTATGGAGGGACTTTGGAAAGCCCTAAGTGCTTCTCACTGTTTGACACCCATCAGGATGAATGATGCTCAAGACTCATGTAAAGAAGCCATTTGTGAGTGAGTCGCAAAAAGTAATTATTCTTGGAAACGTTTGCCATTTGCGACAAAGAAATGCAATAAGAAAGAGCAACATTTTGACTAGTCGTGCCTAAATAAACAAATATGAGATAAAAAACTTGTTTGAGTGATTGATCATCAAGAAACTTAAAAAAGATGCAAAAGCCAGATTTTGCTCATTTGTACTTCCATTTGGGTTTCTACTGCGTCTAAAACCAGACCAACTGCTCAAAAAATAAATAACTAAATAAATAAGTTAATTAATTAATAAACATCCGGACGTTTTTTTGGCAATAACTTTTTGTTTTTTGGTGTCTGGAAAATGAGCTGCTGTTAAAAATCAGTGTTATGCATTGTCAGTTACATAACAACGCAAGCTGAACTCCAGCACGTTTTGTCAGCTGGTTTTACCTCTGTATGTGGTGTACAATGGCTGCTGGAAAAGACTAATGTTATGTGGTTGACTTACCATCCATAAACCACTTCCTGGATTCTTGTTGTGCAGGAGGCTCCACTTCTGTTTTTCCGGGATGTTTGGTTCTATAATATCACATCTGTTTAGCTTTTAACTAAAGAGGATTAGAACCACAAAAAAATTCCTAAAATTTAAATCTTTGTTTCAAAATTGCTATTTTTTCTCTGAATTTACCAGAAAATCAAAATTGAAAATTCTGAGGAAAAAAGTTCAAAATTTTGAGTAAAAAATTTAGAATTCTGAGAAAAAATAGTGAAAATTCTTAAATTTCTCAGAATTTTGACTTTTGATCACATGAGATTAAAGCCAGAGTTTTTGTTTGTTTATTTGTTTTTCAGTGGCAGTAATCTTCTTCCGTAGTTTTCTGTATTTGTTTCCTGCCAAATTACATCAATGTGAAACGAAGTTCAGCATCATCTAACTTTGAGAAGTACTAAAATTTCAGAGGTTTGTTGTTGGGTTTTATCAGTACATTCTACCACAACTGGAAATCTTGATTTTGGATCTTGAAATAAAAATGGCTGTGACATCAGTGCCATACGAGTATAATGGAAAAACAATCCTGTTTCTGGACTTTATTCCCTGTCCTGCTGAAAGGTTTGTCTTCTCACCTTTCTTTAGCGAAGCCACAGAGTTCAATATTCCCTGAGAGCTGCTTCAACTGTAATTTAATGTCCCACCTACAGCTGCTGCTTTGGGCTCATTTTCACATGCCATGTTCATGTTATCGCTCTGTCCGCTCAGCTTTTCTGGCACCGTCAGCAGGAAGGAAGCTGCAGAGATCTCATTGTAGTCGTTTGGCTCCAGCGTGTGAACGCCGCCGTTCTGTTCGAAGCTGGCTGCCTGACAACTCCGGCAATGAACCTCTGCTGAGGAGGACTCTCCGCCCTGCGATACCTCCCAATCTGTACTGAAAGCTTTGAGTGTCTGAAGCACTGGTCCCAGTCTGTGACTGACTGCTGCCTCACCGAAAACGGAGAGAAAACCATCAGAAACAAGTTTGGAGATTTTAAAACCGCGTGGAAAGGTTGTGCATTCTAAAATAATGCAATTAAAAGTTGGATTTATGGAGCCATTTATGTTTTATTAGCTGTATTGTTGTTGAGCTTTAGGTGGTGGAGTATCCAGAAAATATATTCAAGTAAGAGTGAGTCTATTTCAACATATTTTTACTCAAGTCAAAGTAAAAATCTTGTGAAACTTGAACAGAAACTGCAGGTGTCTTCAGTGGGCCGAAAATCCAGAAACTTTACTCAAGTAAGAGTAGAAATACTTCAATAAAAACATTTACTCAAGTAAAATGTGCATCAGAATACTCCTACAGGTACATTTAGTCAGAAAAAAGTGAGTTGAGTCACAGTAAGTAGTTACTGCCAGCTCTGCTTGTCTCTGACTCTCTAACTCTCATCCTCAGGTGGGTCGCTGTGTCCGAACAGCAGCGCCCTGCAGGAGGTGCGGAACTGCAACGAGCACGCCTGCATCGTTTACCACTGGCAGACGGGGCCCTGGGGGCCGTGCACCGAGGACCCCTCCACCGCGCCGCTCAACTCCTCTGCAGGGAAGCGTCCCGCCGCAGACGCCCAGGGCCTCTGCTCCATGGGAGTGCAGACTCGAAAGGTCATGTGCGTCCGGGTCAACGTGGGACAGGTGCCTCCCAAAAAGTAAGCAGATCTCAGTTTTGTCTCAAAGGCAGTGCTGTTTAAAATCAACCTTTTTGTGTGATTACCTCGTCTAAAACGTATTTGGAGCTTTGCTTTGATTCTTTCATGAATGTTGGAGGAAACGCCTGGTTGGACCTAGCTCCGCCTTCGAGATGCAGCTCCACCTGTGAGCTGCAGTTTTTAAGCTTCTGAGCTTTCGGCTCACAGAGCAGCCCTCCACCGCTCGGCTCCTTCAGACTAGCCAGCAGGAATTAGCACACAGCTGCTGGAATCGCTCATCTTCTGAGCTCACTATCGGAGCGACTTCTCAGTGAAACGCTGGTAAAAATGTTATTGAAGGGTTAATACATGAGCCATGTTGTGATAACTTCTTGAAGGCGGAGTTTCAGAAACAGCTGGTGTTTTTAAAGAGACAGACCCGATTTCAAGGCAATAATTTACAAAGTTTGAATTCTTTTATGTCATGTTTGATATATGCAGCATTTTATATCGACTGAAGCTAACGCAATCATTTGATTATTAATCTTAGTATTTATAAAGGTACCTATTTCACAAAATATATAAAAAAACAATAAAGTCTAAAAGATTCTTGGCATTTAGCTAATCTTATTTATCTTCTGTCTTATTTATCTAAGACGGAAAAGGCTTGGTCTGAATTGATACCAGAAGGGAGGAGAAAAGTTTGAAGTTTTGATATGTGCCAAAGGATGCACAATAAATAACATTTGAAAGCATTCAGGAAACACTTAAATAGCCCAAAAAATTAAAATTTAAAGTTGATTCATTGACTTGAATCATGTTTGAAGTATGCTTCAAACATGACCGATCATGTTTGAAGCATACTTTCCCCTCGTTGCATAAAACGTGTCAGAGGTAATGTTTCCCTTTCGTTACCCCTCGGTTTCCTGGAAACGACTTCTCCAGGAGAATCAAAGGTCACAAAACCTGCAGCAGCTTCATCAGTGAAAGAAATGGGTCATTTAGCATGAGCAGTAAAATGTCAGCGATGTACTCCATCACCTCAGTTTTAATGCCGGTGGAAGCAAGCAATCAAAGTCCTGCCACTTTCTTCAGTCACATCTTCTGCTCTCCTGCCAGAGCTGCAGCTTCCAACCGACGCTAACGCTCAATAATCTCCGCCAGGCATCTCCGTTACGAACCGCTGGAGGAAAATCTGGAAGACAAATCGTGACTCTAACCTGGACAGGAGACAGATTCATCATTTGTGAAAATTTAAACTCAGATTTGACCTGCTCAGCAATAAGCTGAGCACATGATGACTGTCATAAACAAAGGAGTTATAGATGTTGTGCGAATGGGTTTGGAAATCAGCGTATCCACAGAAATGAGAAAGAAAGGCTCAGCTATGTTGTAACTAATTAAGAGCATATTTTGCTGAACTAAGGTCTGCTTTTGAGTTAAAGTCACCCAATAAATGTGTTCCCGTTTACAATCAAACCATAGAAAATGCAAAAAAGATTAATATTGCATCAAACATTTTCCATTATGAGAACATTCTAACTGGTTTGTAATAATTTTATGTTGATTAAAAACAGAAAGTCTGCACCGGATCACTGTGCTGGCAGACAAAACTGGTGTAAATTTTGTATTGTAATTGAAGGGCCTCACAAAATCAGTCCAGGGGCCACGTACGGCCCCCGGGCCACACTTTGGACACCCTGCTGTACAGTAAGCTAGGCCTGACGCAACATGCAATTAATCATTCAAACACATAAACTCAATCATTTCCATTGTGATGATTAATATTTTTTGAAGGATAACTTTGGTTCCTGAGATTTTATAATCCATTTTATTTATGATTTTTTTGTCATGTTTTATTGTAGTTCCATTATTATGTCGTTATCAATATATTATTTGGTAAAATATTCTCAATATTCGTTTACCGCAACAATTTCTGGGAGAATCTTTTATTTAGCAAATATTTGTTATTGTGCAAATATTTGTTGTTTGGGTTTTTTTTTTTTTGTTTTTGCAAAATTACAAAGGGTGAAATAATAAAATGCCTTTTGTTGACTATGAAGTTTTTACTCCACATTGTCTATAGAGGGTGAAATAAGTCCAACATGTTGTGTGTTTGAATTAATGTCTAGATAATTTTTTTGTTGTAAACTTTTCTTTCTCACCTTATAAAATCAACTTTGTGCAGAGATGAAGCTGAATTTCTTTGGTGCACATGTATCTAAAGAGGAGAAAACTGAAAATAAAATCTATTTTTTATGTTCCAACACTGATTTTTACAACCCGAAAACCCTTTGACTTTTATTTGACACCAGCTTGTGAATGCAAAGCTCTAATTTCTGCAGATGGAGACATGAAACGTTGCAATCAGATGCAGCTACACATCATTAGAAAGTCTATTTCTGGTCTGACTGAGTCTCATTAAACAGAAAGACTTTTTATCTTAATGATTTTTTTTTTTTTACAACTTTTATAAGAACGTCTGTACTGAAGTCATTCTTTTAACCAGCAAGAAAGTGATTAAATTAAAGACGAACAGAAATATGAGTTTATTTATATCCAGCCAATTAACATTCTGTAAGATAAACAGTGCAGTTTGTTTCAGAATCTGTCAAAATAAATACTTTTCTTTTTTTTCCCACCAGTTGCAGCTTTTATGTGGACCGGTTCTGGCTCAGCACCAAAACCTTTTAATCAGAAACCTTTCGGTTCCTCTACCAACTTTAAAAACTAACAAAAAAAACCTTCTCTGCACCTCGTTATGTTCAGAGTCGGGATAATTTCTGAACCTGAGGTTTAATTCTGATTGAAATAATAAAACTGGGATTATAGAAACTTAATTTGCACTTTTTCAAACAATACTAGTCAGCAAAATGATTTAGACTTTAAAATGCAATCTTTTAATGTTAACAGTTTATAAAACCTTTTCTGTAGTAAACTATTATTCATGTTTGTATTGATTATTTTATTTATAGTAATATTAGGCATAACATGATTTTTATTTTATTGTTACTTTCACTTTTATGTGTACAAATAGGAGTAAATGGTTTATTATTATTCTCTGGTTTTCAGTCTGCAATCAGAACTACCTGTAAGAATAATAAAATGATCAAATAATTAATCAATTTCTAATGAAATTAGTCATAATTAACTGATCATTATATGGCAGCAAACTGCTTCCAACAATATCTTAGTTCTAACATAGTTTTAACATATAATTTGCAATATCACTTCCAAATTATTATGCAAGTGATATTTTCTTAAATGGTCAATGAAAATGATGGTCAGTATAACTTTCAAGTCATGAACTATTACAGTTTAAATCAGATTTTACTGAACAAAGCTACCCATGAGAACAGGATGTTTTTCCAAAATAAAAATCTCTAATTATTATGCACAGCAGATTATCTAAACATTTTATTGATTATAAAGAACTGCAAACGGTCATTATTTGAATGTGCAGCATTAAGTTTTCACGTGTATGAAAATCAAAACCTATTTCAATCAAAAACATCTTACATGTTAACAAAGGACCTTTTCTTTGATATCACCTGCACAATCCTTGCATCCATTGAGAGTTTGTGGAAAGTTTCTGCTTTAATTTCTTTGCTGGATGTTAGAAAACCTTCCCAGAGCTTCTGTTTCGATATGAACTGCATCCAGGTTCTCAATAGGGTCAGAGGTCAGAGGAGGATGGTGACCACACCATGAGTTTGTCCCCTGTTATGCCCACAGCAGCCAGTGACGTATTTCTTGCAGCATGAGACGGTGCATCGTCATGCATGAGGATGATTTTGCTACTACATAATTTCTGAAAAGCTGCTCCAGTTTTCTCAAGTCTAAAATGTTTGCTTGTTTAAATCCTTCTTGTTTGACAAACACATAAGAAAAGGACCTCAGAACCTGCAAATGCCTGCAGATTATGATGATGGCGAGATGGGAAGTGCCAGCAGCATAAAGACAGTGACAACAAGCAGAGTGACAGAGCTGGTTAAGTAAACGGAGCACACCCAACATGAGTCCCAGTTCATATCTTTGCTTTGCAGCCGACCACAGATAAATAATCTCTGTGTCCCTGAAAGCCTAATTAACCCTGCCGTTTTGGGCACTGGTGATTTCTCATTGATGATAATGACGGTAATTAAATGGGATTGATACTTTAAGGCAATTTAATCACGAGGCAGATGAGAGGCAGGATGTTTGCGGGTAACTGTGAGGACCACGCCACATGAGGCGAATTCAGAATAGATGAGTTTACCCAAACATCTGTCAGAAAGTTCAGCCCAGGGCTCGTCGCTTTCGCTCCAACGGTCTGATCGACACCAGGACGCAAAAGCACAGAACGATAAAGTCAAAGAGTTCTGATTTATTCTAATTTCCGCTCATAATGGACATGAATGTCAAATTAATTCTTGGCTTTTTTGACACTTTATGACACAAACAAGCATTTGGTAACTTGTTTGTGTTTTGCACAGCTGAAGCTTTTGACATAATTTATGGTTGATCACTGTTCAGGAAGGCAAACAAGATGATCTGTGTTTGGGATCATTGTCCTGCTGGTGCAGCAAGCTGCCATCCAAGATTCAATTGTCTACTGTTTGATTTAAGATGCAGAAATTATTTAAAGTCCTTTATACTCACTGGAAAAGATGGACCAAATGAAAAGAGTCGCATATGATTCAAGGAAAGGCATAAATGGTGATTGGTGAATAAAGAGCAAATGTTTTTGAGTCGGGGTGTGTTTACGTCAATAATCCCTGTCTGTGTTTAGTCCACTTTAATCAAGCTAACCGCTTGGTTGAATCCATAATCCACCAAAAAAACTCTGCTCTGCCTAAAAACCTGGTTCTTGGTTTAGTTGAAGTGAACTCTGGTGTGGTTCGAATGCATATGTGAATGCAAGCTCTAAAACCAGGAAGCGGACTACAGCGCAGGGAATTCTGGGTAAAGAGAACCAAAACAAATGCGCCTGTTTAGCGCAGGAGAAATGGCTGACGGTATTTTACCTACAACTGTTTAAA